CGGCAGCAGCCCCCGGCCCGGGCTGCCGGGAAGGGCTGCCCGGAGGGGAGGGCCGCTCCGCTTTCATTCCCGCCGTCTGCTAAACCGGGAGCGTCCGGCGTGGGGAGGCCGTGGAGGGGGAGCCCGGCCGGCTTCGGGCGCGGCGCCCTCGGGCGTTGGGGGCTGCGAGTTTTTAGGAGCGCTGCGGCTGGAGGGCTGAGCGGGCACGGCCGCCCGCCCGGGATCCGCGCCCGGTTATCCGGCAGCACAGACCTGCGCCGCCTTTGGGATTTAAAACAGCAGCCCGTTCCTCCCACGGGCCTGATGCAAAACTCTGGGAAGTCTGTGATTTTTTTTCTCTATTATTATTTTTAGCTTCTATAGGCTTTGATGGACGCCCTTGATAAACCGGCGCGGAGAGCATGTTTGCAAATCCTGGTGTGTCTCAGGTTCCTCCTTTCCTTTGCATTTCTCCTCGTGTGGGTGCTTGTCTGTTTGTAGTGGTGACAAGAAGAATTAAGGGCTTTCTGCTAACATGTCTGTAGTTGTCCCCCAGTGCAGAGGCTGTAGGTGACCTTCCTTCTGGGGTAGGTAACAGAGCTCGTTGTCTCTGAGGGTCACCAGGTCTTGGGAGTGGGGAAATGCTTTGAAAATTGAGCCGCTTTTCTGGTGTGGCAGATGCAAGCATGAACCAGTCATGAACTCGGATAGGTTCTGCCTTGTCAGAAGGGCTTGTTTTGTGCTATAATGGACGTTCCTGCCAAAAAAAAACCCTCAAAGTAGGGAAATCTGCCCAAATTTCTATGTTTGAATAGCCAGCAACTATTATAACTCAAATGGGAAAGCAACATCGGGGAGTTATGTTTCCCTGTCTTCAAATGCCATTCAGGCAGCTGGTCCAGCTTCATCTGCAGAGCTTCCCTAATCACAAGTCACTTCTGACCATGTCTGCTCCTCAGGAGCTAAGGGGATGCCTATGCTGCAGTGCCAGTGCCTGCTGACACTCCTGTAGGGCTTGGGCTCTCCTCATAACTCTGCCCCGTGGCTGCAGTCTGGGTGACGCCTCTGGTGCGCCCTGATGTACACGCTGATGCACATGCCGCACGCTGATGGGCAGTTCCCAGCAGGTCGGCCTCCTTCCCCTGTGGGAGATGAAGTGATTGGGAGGTCATGAAGTGAGCTGACTTCATGAACTGAATGGGTGAAAAAATACGGTGTGTATCATGTCATAATATCATAGAATCATCATGGTTGGAAAAGACCTTTGAGATCATCTAGTCCAACCGTAACCGATCATCTAGTCCAACCATACCTGTTAAACCATGTCCCTAAGTGCCTCATCTACACTTTTCTTGAACATTGCCAGGGATGGTGGCTCCACCACTTCCCTGGGCAGCCTGTTCCAATGCTTGAGTACTCTTTCCATGTAGAAATACTTCCTAATGTCTAACATGAACCTCCCCTCCTGCACYTTGAGGCCATTTCCTCTTGTACTGTCCATCGTTATTCTGGAGAAGGGATCAACCCTCGCCTCCCTACAACCTCTTTTCAGGTAGTTGCGGAGAGTGACAAGGTCTCCCTTCACTTGTTGCTGGTAACCAGCACCTAGAAGAAATACAGAACTTCTGTATTTCTCAGTTGTAGGCAGGTAGTATTTTCTTTATCTACTTCTTGTTCAGTGCTTTGAGGCTTACTGATCAAAGCTCTGTGAGAGATCTTGGTGTCTGTTATCATGATGCCTCAGAGCACAGTGCCTTCCTTTGCCTTGATAAAGTATTGCTGTCTGACCAGGTTCGCCTTCCTCTCCCACCCTGCTTCTCTAGGGTGGAGAAGAAATTTTAAACATCGTTAAGATTCTCYGCTTTCCATTTTGCCTCCAGACTAATAACTGGAACTTCATTTGGGGGAACATTATTATGCAGACTACTTGTTCTATCATCAAGGATATAAATCCAGAAAAACTTGAAAAAAATCCTGTATGATAAATTGGTATTAAATGGAAAGCTTTCCTTCAGAAGKGTCCAACCAGGCAATTACTGCAGAGTACAACTGTCTGGCAGTGGAGGATCGTTATGGTCTGAGATTATAGTGATAGTCTGAACCTGCAGGCACATTTAGCACCAAGCCCACGCTGCCAGCTTTGCAGATATCGGGGCGCTATTCCAGCAACCAGCCTGAATTTCAGGTTGACTTGAGCAGCTTAGTGAAAGCTCTAAGTGAGAGGTACCAGTTTTAGTCTTCGTTCCTGCACAACTGCTCAGTGTTATCTTCCATCGCAGGGTACTTTACTGCCTTGTAATCCAGCCGGTGGATGTTCTCCCCAACCGGTTGTGAAAGAGTTGGGCGAGACGCAGCGAGACTTTCACGCTGGGCACAGCTAGGGCTGGGGCTGTGTGATGAAGACTGTCCACGAGAATGAACTGGGCCTGGTAAGTCTACTCTCGAATAGTAGACTGCTTCTGAAGAAGGCCCTTCTTGGTGTCAGGTTGGAGCTGTTGTATAAAACAACCACCAGGTTTCTGCTCCTAGGCTGTTGTTCTGCTGGGCTTGTGCCCCTTGGGGAGCAGGGGGCTCTGAGTAGGAAGAGGCCTATATTTCATGCCAGGATTGCTTTTATCTCCATGAGCGGGTTCTGCTCTTTCCCTAGGAAGAGTTGATCCCTTGGCAGCTACATTTTAAGCTCAAGTGCACAGAGCTCTGCTGTTCGGCCAGGGGACACCCTCTAATCGGAGGCTCAGGTCAGATCAGTGTCTAGGGGCTGTGCTTGTCCTGTGCTGACTTAATGCTGGTGCTTCCTGGCAACAGCAGCGTAAAGCTTTTTAATGTGATTTTTTTTATTATCTCCAGTCTGCAGCTCTTCCCAGGGGTGCAGCTGGCTTGGCTTTGGGATCCTGCTTATCACCTCTAGTTTTGGGGCTGTTCTTCTGCTTCTCACAGAGGTTGTGCTCGAGGTTGGTGAGGAGAATGAGTGCAGTTTTACCGGTCCTGCTGGGTTAGCAAATTTGGCAGCATGGAGAGTCTCGGTGCTGAGCAATCCTTCCTGACCTTGTGGCCTTCCAGCTCATGCCTGCGAGCTGGGCTCATCCTCAACACTGGGTGAGATGCCTTAAGTCTCAGCCCCTTCCTGCAGGCCCCATAGCCCTCTGTCCTAATGCCCAGCTTGTTTTGTTCAACAGCAGGAGGTGGCATTCCAGGCTGGGCAGAATTACCCTGCCGGCTCTTTGCATCCCGCCCTGGCACTTCCAGTCCTTCAAGTCTAGCACCAGAGAGGATGCTAAACTCATGGGAGATTCCTCTGGGAGCTAGCTAGTGCCTGGTGCGTGGGAGAAGGATATGGAGATGGCTGATAGATGGGAGATGTTCCTAGTACGACATTTCTTTCCTCAGCTGCATCACCACCTGTCCTTGACTGCATCTTTGCAGCTATCGTGTGAGATTTACTGGAAAGTCAAGCCAGGAAAGAAACTCTTGAGGAAAGCTGTCTGCAAAGACAAGGGTGGGCAGCTAAAGGGAAATGGGGCAAACACAAGGCAGGACCTGCTGGGGACTCGGTGTAGGACTGGCACGAGAATGGAGGTGCTGCCTTCCCGCTGCCTGGGCATGTCTGGAGAAGGCGCTGGCTGCACCTCTGGCTGCTGTGGAGCTTGGTCTTGGCAGTGGGGCACTCACACTGCCACATCATCCAGAAGCACAGAAATGATTCCGCTKGGATGTGGCTGCAGGGCTGTGCTTCTCCTGAGTTAGCCAGGACATGCAGTCTAGGAGCCGTGCTGAATTTTTGGCAGCTGCAGATGCTCAGGCAATAGCTGCTGTGGTACTGTCAGACAGCGTGGACAAGAGGGGTCTGAGTCAACCTAAAAACTGCCATCGTAAAATTAATCTGTAAAAATAGGTTATGGATGGATTTGAACTAGCACCACGTGTTTGTACCTGCTGCAGAACAGGCTGTCAGATGTTAATACATTTTTGGAGAACTCAATAGTCACTGTATGGTTTAAACACTCACCACATGCTTGGAGAAGGAGCAGGTCCCTGACCTGCATTCAGGAGGGGATGAGCTCCTGGCAGAGTGGAAACCATGGATCCCATGAGGACAGGACAAGGGTAGGCAGTATTAGTGACAGTCTAGTTGTCTGTGCTGGCCGTGAAACAGCACTGGAAGCAGCTTGCTCTTTGCAAATGATGTCGGCCAAGATCTCCTGCTAGCCTGGCAAAGCCTTGTAAGTTGGTACTGAAGTCTGTCCTGCCATGCAGGGATCTGAGCAGGTGCTCCTGGAAGGTCTCGGTGCTTTGCTCAGCTGCCGCGTGTCAAATCCACTCTTTAATCTACCCCGCAAATCCTTTCACATGCTTACTGCCTGAGCATGCCAGTACACTGATTCCAGAAAGGAATCTGGGAATTTGGGCTGGAGAGGGGTTGCAAAGCCGAGACTGGGTCTCGAGGTTTCTTTCAGGATTTGCTAGGCACAGCTATCAGCTGGAAGAGGGGCTGAAACCTTGGCTATGCAGAATGGCTAATGAAAGCCTCAGCGAGATGGCCACTGGGAGGTTTTCACTGTGAGTGACTGGTGTCCTCGTGCTTCCCTCTGTTCCAGGCGCCGATGCTAAGTCTGCTGGGCAGTGCCAGGGAGAAGGCAGCCTTTCGGCGGCTGGAGATGCTCGGAGGCACCAGAGGGGACGCGCTGAGCACCGCAGACACACCATCACCAACGGCGTGGACTTCAGCATGGTAAGAACAGCCCCGTCACGAGAGGCTTGTGAAGGGCCTGCAGGCCCTGTGGGGAACACCGGCACAAGGTAGATGGCAGAGGTCCCTCTTTGAAGATAGTAGCTCTGTTTTGGCCATAGCTCTGCCCTGCCACCCTAGCAGTGTGAACTCTATGGACTTTGGGTATTACAGACATCCTGGTATTTCTTTTCGAGTCTTGCAAGTTGCTTCCAAAGTCCCTTYGGTCCTGAAGTGTGCAGGACTGGGAGACAGCATGTGTTCCCTCTGATGTAGGGTGGGGAGTTGGTGTTTTATGCGCAGGAGCCTCTCCATTGGCAAACAAACTTGGGCAAGGAAAAGCAAACATCTTCCCTCACTTTATAGATGGTGGCCCCAGTCCTGCAGTGGTCTCTGCAGATGAATCTCTGGGGCTTTCAGTCACGCCAACAGAAGTCGTGTGTGCTCAGGGCTGGTGAGTGGCTGTGCCAAAGCACGTGGCACGGCACTATGGGGGCCCTGAATGGGCAGGGCTAAGCATACAATCTGTCACTTCCACTAAGGCATGGACAAGGTGGAGGAGCCCTGTGGGCTCTGAGGGATCTTTTTTTCCAGTAATGCTGGTTTCTGTGCATTTAATTTAACTGGGGAGTCTGGGATATAAGGATCTGCCTCCTTCTCACAGCTCCTGAGTGGAGAGGCTTGCCCAGAACAAGGGATCTGCCCTGCTCTCAAGTGGGTTGGAGAGGTTGCCTGGACATGTTGCCCACAGACTTGAGCTAAATTTTCCTGGGAAGAGAGCCAGAACCCTGCCTACACGTGACAATCTCTTGACCTTCCTTGCTTTGTGTTGCGGTGTGAGCACTGTTTGAGCTATCTGGGAAGCTGTGACTCGCCCGTCAGCACTTCCATTTCTCGCGCGCTGGTGTCACCCTGCTTGCTGATGTGAGCGAAGCTGACAGGCCACATGGGCGGTCTCCGTGCAGCGTTGACTGCGACTTTGTGTTGGCCCTGAGCGACAGAGCAGGCTCTCGCTCCTGYCCTCCCCAGCCCGCGAGGGGTGGTTTGCATGCATAGGACCAGGTTACTTGGGCTGCAGGGGCCGGGGCCCTCCTGCAGGCTCAGAGGGTCTCTCTGGAGAGGTGCTGGTCTGGGGAGGGGGAATGAGGTCCCTCCAGTCCTCAAGGCTTTGGTGGCTGGATGTCCCTGCTCCGGAGACAGGAAGGTTCCTCTCTTTCTCGGCAGGGCTCTTCTCCGTGTACATAGCTCCCAGCTGGAGCCCAGCACAGGTGGYTCCACAGTCAGGAGTTCGGAGAGCCAGCCGGTCCTGCAGAGGAAAGGCTGGCGGCCAGGGTCTGCTCGCAGGGGTCTGGGCTCTCTTCCCAGCACTGCAACAAGTTTGGGGCAACTGTTGCCCTTGCCTCAGTTTTCTAAAGTTATATATAGTTATAGTGGGAGAGATGGGAGAAAGGAATTTTGTCCCTCTGTCCCACAATTCTATCGGAGTGTCTCACTGCCTTTAACGTGTTTCTCCTCTCTGAAGCAGTGTCTGTCCCTGTCCTGTAGCTAGGAAGCACCCCACTTCCCCCAGCACCAAAGCAGCTCTAGAGAAGCATTTGGGTTATGAATCCCGCTTTAGAGCATCCAGAGACAGTTAGAAAAGGTTTGGGTCCAGCCAGTATTGAAGCCTCGTGCAGGGCAGTGTTGTAATCTCTCACTCTTCCTTTCCCATGATGCTGGAAGGATGATAGGTGCTGAAAAGGCAAGGCACGCAGATGGCGTTGGGCTAACTTGCCTTAAACTCAAGAGKTGTTGGCAGACACCGATGTGCATTCTGCATGCTATGTGCCGGGACGTGTTGAGGCCCTGATTAGCAGAGCGAAGGTGTGGGGCTGTGCTGCAGCCCCCCGACCCTTTGCACCGTGACAGCTGGTGTCTGCCTGGCTCATTTTTTCCAAGTCCATTGATCGATCGGCCCAATTTCCACACAGCCTCAGGGCAGCTGGGCCCAGACCTTCTGTGGGAGGCTGAGCTCTTCTCTCATTTGCAGGCGGTCTCAGATACGGCGCCATCCCCTCCCCTTCCGCCCCGGGCAGCCCCAGCCAACACCCACCGTGCCCATTCCATCTCCATCTTCCTCCTACCACCCCAGAAGCTGCCTTTGCCACTAGCTCTATCCCCTCCTCAACCCTTGGTGAGATGCCGTCTGTCCCCTCACCCAGCAGAGCTGGCGATGTCCCACCACTCTGTGTGATGCTGCCTCTTCCTCTGGTCACTGTGGTCACTGGTAAGCCTGGAGGGACCAGGGCGGGACAGGTCACAGGCTGCAGCCAGAGCTGGATGGGGGTCCTTGCGTCATACAGCATCATCTTCATGCCCCTCAGCAACAGCCTGTGTAGCACCAAGGCTCTGCAGTTCTTCCTGTGGGTATGTCACCTTCTGTCTGCCTCCCATCCAAGCGTGCGTGCGGGTGGCTGCTGTATTAGAGACGGTACTTCAGAGGCAGTGGGAGGCATGAGCTGCTCTGGGGTCAGGAGTGACTGGCAGGTGACCGTTGGGAGGTGTTGGGGTGGAAGCAGGGACAGAGAAGTGCTGGTAGCGTGGAGAAGGTGCTGGAACAGTCCTGCTTGTCCCTGCCAGGGAGATGGGAGGASATCTGTGCAGGTCATTCTGAGCTGAATCCTTTCCCTCCAGACACACTCCAGACCAGCTCGAGAGGCTGCTCAGTGCCCAGCAGCTTCTGAACTTGCCTGCTTGCATAAAGGAAAATGCTAAKGGTGTCTGGGAAGCTGTTTTCTCTTCCCAGTGGAGATTCTGGCTCTCCTGCTGCCCAGACTGCCATAGGCTGCAGAGGTCACATTGTGGCCTCGTTCTCCAGCGTGTCTGTGAGGCAGAAACAAGGTGGAGAGCCCTTTGCTTTGTGGGTGCAGGGCACAGCTCTTGCTCTCAGAGTGGGACCTTCGCACCTCKCCCTGGCAGAGCAGCTGCAGGGGTAGCCCAGGAAAGGCGTTAAGTCAGGGGAATGGACTGGTAGAGCTGAGGGGAAGGAGTCTGTGAGCCCCAGAAATCATCTGCCTCGATGATTTCTTGTTAGCAGTGCTGCAGCGTCTAGGGGCCTCGAGAGAAGAGGGTGACAATGGAGCAAGGAGACCTCCTCCTGCTGCTGCCAGTGCAGTGCAGATAGAGAGGCTGAGCAGTCCATGCTGCAGCAGTCTCCCTGGCTGGGWCACAACCTGACTCCAGCTGCAGGGTTATGCTGTGCGTATCACGGAGAGTTGGCTTGGATGTTAGACCTCTGGTTCTTACAGATACCCTCCAGATATGCCAAGGACACCCACCCATGCCCACCTCCAGACTACTTGGATGCTTGAACCTGAAACACTCAGCAGATGTTCTACATCAGGTAGTTCTACAAATACCTGAAAGGAGGTTGTAGTGAGGTGAGGGTCGATCTCTTCTCCAGAATAACTACTGATAGGACAAGAGGAAATGGCCTCAAGTTATGCCAGAGGTGACTCACATTAGACATTAGGAAATATTCCTACATGGAAAGAGTAGTCAAGCATTGGAACAGGCTGCCCAGGGAAGTGGTGAAGTCACCATTCCTAGCAGTGTTCAAGAAACATGTAGATGAGGCACTTAKGGACATGGTTTAACAGGTATGGTGTTGAAGGGTTTATGATTGGACTCAATGATCTTAAAGATCTTTTCCAACCATAATGATTCCATGATTCTACGTACTCATAGGAAAGGTGTCCTATGCTTTGTTCAGAAAAACCTTGATGGACAAAGTAAAGGAGAGAGCAGGGAGCTGGGAAGAACATGGCCACAGATTTGTCCAGATTTCTAACTTGTGTGTTCAACTTGGCTGCTTCCTGTATGGCATTTGTACTGAAGCTGAGGAGGCTTCAGAAGCCTGCAGCCTCAAGAGCATGAAGAGAGTGGGTGCAGGCCATAGTCTCAGTGCATCCTTGAATAAGTGACAAAGAGAAAGTTGCTTCTCCTCTGGTGAGAGCTGGTGGGCAGCACACCTGGCTGTCCAGACATGGGCATGGAGATGATCTCGTTGTCCTTCAGCTGTTGCACTTATTCTCCCAGACTGGAGAGCTCTCCCTCAAACCAGGATGATGCAATGAGCATCATCCTCCTCCTCCATAGCTCTTGCTGGGAAAAGAGGCTGAGACACCTGCTGATAGCCAGGTTCCTCTGTGGGTCATCAAGAAAGCAGCTCCTTGAGCTTGACAAGATGTTGGGCCAGATTGGAGAGAATTGTCAGGGCTGCAAGTTAGGTTACTCCTGGAGGCCTTCAGACTGGGATGGTAGGACAGTGTTTCTCAGGTTTGTCTTCAGCCCCCTCCAGGTGTAATCCTGGGCACTTCATTTCCAGGATAGGAGGCCCAGTCTGCCTGCTTTGGACATGGATGAGGAGAGGACATGATGTATCTCTGTACTGTCTTGCAGCTGAAGCATATGAAGGAGCTGGAACAGGAGAAAGATTTTCTGCTCCAGGGTCTGGAGATGGTGGAACGTGCCCGGGAGTGGTATCACCAGCACATCCAGTTTATGCAGGAACGCCAGAGACTCCTGGGGAAAAACAAAAGCAGCACGGTGAGTCTGGAGCTTGTTCTGTGGGTGCTGGTCATCTTGGAGGGTCTGGGCTGCCTTGTGGGTTGGGAGAACTCAGATGGGACTTATTGTGCTCAATGTTGGTCTAACTCTGCTCACCGTAACTCCTGGAAATAGAGTCCATCCAGGACCTATTGTGCCCATATCTTCCTGCTCACTTGCCAGTCTTGAGACTCTCCTCTTGGACCTACTGGTAGCCACGCACGTGTGGATACAAATGTGCCCTTGGCACGGCTGCCTGGGCTCACGCGTTCCCTGCTCACCTCCCTCAGGCCACAGACCAGATCAGGATTGGCTTCTGGACAGGACAGCCATGACTTTGGTCTTTGTGTTGATTGTGCAGTAACTCCAGATCTGAACCAGGGATTTCCCCTGTCCCCATCTCACTGAATAAATAAAGGGCACGTTCCGTTGTCTGCATGAGCCAACTCTGCTGAGTACACTGGGCTAACTGGGGTGTCAGCAGCAGATTGAGACCCAGGCTCTGACAGCAGTCTGCAGAGGGGACTGGAAGACAATAAGACATTGAGTCATCAGCAGGGCAGCCTGATTCCCCACAACAGCTCCCAGCCTCTTCTTCCTCATCCCCAGGACTTCCTCCCTGACGGCAGCCAGAGCCACCTGGGGCGCCTGCTCCCCAAGCTGCAGGAGGTGAACCGCTGCCTCAGTGACCTCCTTTCTGCGGTGGGCAAGGTGAGAGGGACGTGGGCAGCTTGCTGTTGTCTGTGTCAGCTTCGGGCCCTCCCTGTCCCCCCCTTACCCTGCTGGAGGGCTGATGCTGGAGCTACCTGAGCCCCTCCTGGCTCTGGGCTGAGCATTTGGCCCTGTTGCCAAGGCAAAGGACGTCAGACAGCCAAGAGGACAGTGCAGCTAGTCCAGGCTGGGCTAGAGGATGCTCACAACGTTTGAAGGGGCCGAAGGGAGCTGACATTGTTGTGTGAATAGGGAAAGCATCCTGCTGAGGTACTGAGCCAGTTTTCCCGGAGCTGGACACCTTGAATGCCAGGCCACAAGAGCCCCTGGCAGGTGTAGGGCATGTTAACAGGAATGCTGCTTGTCTCTGTCTAGAAAAGCCTTGCTGGAGGCCTCCTGCAGTGGCCTGTGCTAATTGCACCAGCAGTGCAATTACTTACTCCTGTGCTAGACTTCCCAGTGCCCAGCCATCAGCTCCCAGCSTCCTTTAGAAACTATTGTAGTTAACCCCATGTGGCTTTGGAGACAGGCTGGGGAGGGTCTCCGAGAAGAGGATTTCACGTCTTACCTTCTCCCTTTATCCCCTCTTCAGTCAGCAAACCCTTCCTCAGCTCTGACCAGGCCGGGCCCTGCAGGCCCTGTGGTGTCCCCAGCCTCAGCAGGGTCCCAGCAAGCCATCAGTATGCTGAAGGAGCAAAACCGGCTTCTCACCAAGGTGAGTGGCGTTCSTTTGGAGAAGGTGTCTGGCATCCAGCTGGCTGAGGGCGCAATAGACCCGAAGGGCTCATCTTTGCTGCAGGAAAAAGGCTTTGGCAAATKCAGCCACAAGAGGGTGCAGATGCTGCAGCGCAGGAGGTGCAGCCCGCGTGGGCCAGGTCTGTGCTTCAGGACTAGCAGGGAATGGTTGCACATGCCCTCCCCAGCTCTGCCAGGGCCGGGCTCGCTAGGCAAGGGTCCACACCTGCAGCACAACCGTTCACCTATGCTTTCGGGCAGCTCTTTCAGGGTGTGTGGGTGGTCATGTGTATCAGGGATGGGGAGAGCAGCAGCTGGGCCTGACAGTGAGAACTTGCTCTGCTCACTGCATGTCCCAGGAGAAAAACAGCTCTGAGCAGGCGTTTTCCTTCTCTATCCGGTGCAGGAAGTGACTGACAAGAGTGAACGCATCACCCAGCTGGAGCAGGAGAAATCCGCCCTGATCAAGCAGCTCTTTGAGGCTCGGGCTCTCAATAACCATGAAACAAGCCAGCTGGACTCCACCTTCATCTAATGTCTGCCTCCTGGAGCTCCTGCTGGCCCCACACTTGAGCTCTCCCCTGGGCTTTTTTTGGAGCTAGGACTCTTGCCTGAATCTCACCGCATCCATTGTTCCTGGTGGTGTGTCTCAGRGCCTGGGGAGGTGCAGAACCCCATGGTATGTCTACGTGAGGAAGCCAGAGGAAAGCACTTTCCTGATCCTGCTTGTGCAGGCCTGGGATATCTCCCCTCTTTGCTGTGCTGCTGGACTTGGTCAGCTGCACCAGTTGCAAGCTGCTCCTTTTCTTGCCTTCAAAACTGACTGCAGAGACTGAACCCCCTATCCTGTTTCCTCTGTGCTGGGTGCTACCTGCACAGTCTGTGTGAGGTTGGGATGGGGGCCTGCTGTACCCTTGGCCTGATTTAGGCTGAATTGTGGCTGCTCTCTGAAAAAGATGATATCTTTAACACTCCACTTGGCATCTCCAACCAACCTGGCCGCTGAAGGACCGCTTGCTTATGACAAGAGGAGGAGATTGAAAATCGATAATGAGGCGAGCATGGCGTCTCTCTGCTGCCTGAGTTCTGCCTGCCGCTGCAACCAAACTGGGTTAGAGCAATACTTGAGCTGCTGCTCCTCTTAGGATCATCTCTCCCCCTGTTCTGGAGGAGTGTTGATGAAGTTGTTTACACATCTGGAGGCTCATCCTGTAGTTGATGAGCCATAGACCCAAGTGAGATCACGTGTATCTCTAAGCTAGTGTTTCAGGCTGTTTGTGGATACAGGCAGACGCTTCTGAATCAATTTTGTTTGACCTGGCAAATGTTTCCTTACGATTGCTAGGATTATATTTTTGTGATTACTTTAAAAGCAGAGATAATGTCCTCTAGCATGAGGACTACGTGACAGAAACCTGATTTCACAGAGGGCATTTAGAAGTAGGATTCTTATCTAACTGAACGTGGGTAATGGAGAGGAGGTTGGTGGGCTTTTTSCTTTGCACATCTCCAAGTGGAGAAATGGCAGGTTTGCCTGTCCTGGTGTTGTACCCAGGGTCCCCTGGTGACATCGTAGGTGTGAACTGCATCCCTCTCCATGGCTGCTGGGGTGATGGTGGTAGTTTAAACATGTGTCCTTGTTGGAGTGGTGTMTCCTGAGTTAATTCCTCCTTCTCACCCAGTTCAGGGGCTGGGGCTGGGACTGAATGTTGTCTTCCACTTTGTCTTGGTAGTTTTTTATTTATGATACTTGCATAGGAAATTCTTGTGCATCCCTATGTAGCACAGGCCTGGTCCTCTCTATCCTGACCTGGCCCAGGATAATTTTTTCTCTCCAGGGTTTTTCATGCTCTGGCTCTCCTAGCACAATGCACTGATCTGGGCAGAGGCTACTGAACCTGCTCTGCTCCAACAGACTCAACTCTGACAGCCTGGGCGCTGTGCACATCAGCTCCTTTCCCACTTTGGGGAAGGTGCCTTTGCCTGTACAGTCCACCTGGCTCATCCGGCTCCTCTCTGAGTTGATCTTGACCTGCTGCTGACTGCAAGGAATGCAGCCCTTGGGCCTCCCTGGTGGCTGCTGTTTCTGCCAGAATGGGCATCAACAAAGAGCGAGGGAAAGAGAGGAGAGGCCGAGCCAGGATAAGTTGTATTCCCTATGGCTGTGGGAATAGGATGTTATTTATCCCCTGGGCATCACTTTCCTTCCTCTCTTTCGTGATGGAAGTCCAGTGCCTGTTTTGCCTGAGGCTTAATAAAAGTGACCCTCCTTGTAACCTTTCTTTAAGTACAATAAAGTGGGATGAACTATTTATTTATCTGTAGCTGTCTAACTTGGCCTGTGATMCTTGATGTTCCTGATGATCCTGTCCTGAGGAATGGGAGAAGAGAGCTGAGATTGTCCAGTCTCAGCCTGCACATAAAGAACCCAGTGGGCCCCTGTTGTAGACCGTGTTCCTATATTGGGACCCTGAGACCTCTGCTTCCAGCCTGGAGCTGGGGATTTCCCTCTCTGTCCTTCCCCCTGGCAGATGGGATTGTGAAACCCCCTGTACCCTCTTTCCARTGTTTGTTCCTGCCTCATCCTGCGTCTTGTAGCTACATCTGGCTGTTCTTCCAGAAAATGTACCAGAGGTTCATGTTGCTCAGGTGATGCTGGCATAGTCCCCAATTTTTTATGCTCTTAGCATCGTTTCTGGAGGTGGTGGTTTTGGCCGTGGGCAGCCACAAGCTACTGGTGGTGCCAGGTAGCAGCTCTGTAGTACCTGAGGGGACCTGTGTCTGGCAGGGAGCACCAGGCAGCCACGCCAGGCAAAGCGAGGCAGGAGATGACTTTGTCCCTRGGGACATGAGAGCTTCTGGTGGGTGGAGGCTGACGTGCTCCACCGGCCGTGGGGCTGCTCCGTTAGTGCCCAGCAGCGGGCAGAGCGCTGTGCCGGCTGCGGGGCACAGATGCCAGCGCTCTAWGGATCTCGTGCCTGCCCGGACTTCCTCCCATTGCACCTCCCCTCCTTTTCATGTGGAAGGCGCAGGGGTGCCKGTGCCAAGCCCCCAGGGCTCAGGAGAGGGATATTTGCAGCGGTTGCTTTCAAGTCCCAGACCAGTGAAAATGGTGGGTGTTAATTGCCTGCGTTTACCCTATTTCAGGCCTCTCCTTTGATGTGAAGTTTGTGAGGTCTCTGCAAAGGAAAGAGAGGTTCCTTGTCCCTGCTCAATGCCCCTCTGTGCACGGAGCCGCGGGCCGCTCTGCCTTTGTGCTGTGGCCCGTCTGCAGCCCAGGGCAGCGCTGGCCTGGGGCCCACGAGGCTGCTGCCGCCTGAGCGCTCCGAGCAGCAGCCTTGTCCTCCTGAGGATCTCCTCGCCATGGACTGGGCTTGTCCGGCGGGGAAGGGGGGCTGGGAGCTGCAGAGCATGGCTTTGCTGTCTGACTCTGCAGCAGCACGTGCTGGCCACGTTGCTCCTGGCTCCCCTGAGGAACCTGGTCCATGTCTAATGCCCACCAGCATCCCTGGGGTCAAGTCCTCTTCACAGCCAGATGAGGTTTTCAGAGGTTTCTTTGCAGCTTAGCAATACAGTTACTGTGCTCGGAGCCACGAGCTCTGGATTTTACCTCAAGGTCTGTAAGTAATTCCCAAGGTGGTGTGAACATCTTCCCTTCTGTTTAGACCCTATTTCCTTTACAGTCTTGCTGGGTTTGCACGGAATTTAGTGCAAGCACGTCCAGGGGCTCCGATCTCATCTGAAAAACACTGCATGTTCTCCAAGGCAGTCTCTGATTCATCCAGAGCAGGTCCCAGCTGCCTCTATCTATGGCAGCTCTGAACCACCGGAAYTCAGCCCCTTCATGCTGTAGGGCTGGAAGGTCAAGGTACAACCACAGGTAATCAACTCTCAAGTTCAGAGTATGTGTCACAATCTTTGGAGTCACAGTGCTGCCCGCCCTGGGTTGCTGGAGCCTTGGATACCGTCATGGGGAGAACCTGACGAAGGGAGCACTTGGCCTGTGGCCGGGGCTGCAGGGAGATGCGTCTGGCTCCTGTGCTGCACCCTGGGGATCTGGGCTCTCATCTTCTTACTCTCTCAGCGAGGCGGTTTGGGAAGCATCCAGTCACTCAGGTCTATTTGTAGTCTCTTCTTCTGCCCGCTCCCATGCCCTTCTCACGCCCTCCTAGACCGGGCTGGGTGCCCAGCTCAGCCCCTTCGGAGACGGGCTGTGCTCCCAGCAGAGCAATTATTTGAAATGCCAGCAGGCCCTTGCAGGCCCCCAGCCTGTACATTTTGTGCTTTTGTTTTTCTGTCCTGACAAACAGCTGTTCTTTGCCCAAAGACCATCCCTGCTGCTCAGKGCAGTTTGCAGCAGCACGAGGGCACCCGTGCCGGAGCTGTTAACCTGTCTGTGCTTTGGGTCTCTGTCCTGCTCCCATCCAAGCCCTGGCTAAAGYGTATCGCTTGGAGAAGAGCCGAGGATATGGAGCTCTGGAGAAGCCCCCGGTTCCCAGGGGGGTGAGTTCGTGCCCTGCACTGACCCACATCCCCAGAGCCGGGCCTGGACCTTGCCGGGCTGGGCGGTAGGTGCCCGGCTGCTGCTCTCTGCACTCTGTTTGCTCCCTCTTTGAGCAGCTCGAGAGCTTCTCAGTGACTTGTGTTCGTCCAGCTGGACAGACCTGCAACCTGGCCTGCGCTCGCTTCGCACTCCTCTCCTCACTGTTTGTAAGGTGTTTCCTGACTCATCTCTGTGCCTCGCTATGGCTGCACGCTCCAGCCCTGCCTGTGTCGCGGGCTCCAGCTGGCCGGGCACAGGTGCCGTAGCTGCCTCTTACCCTCACTGCTGACTGCCTGCATGGGACAGCTTCATAACCCCATCCCATATCCCCATCCCGTATCCCCATCCCGTATCCCCATCCCAGCTCATCCCCACACCAGTCAGACCACTGACCATGGCCAGGCCAGGTGCCCCCATGGTGAATCAAGCACCGACAGTTGTGCTTGTCAGTGCTTGTCCTGGGACAACTGTCCTGGACTTGGCTTCAAACTCCTCCAGCTCCCTAGTGTGTCTGATGGATCCTGCTGGGGCTGCAAAGCCCGGGCTGACCCGTGTGCTCCCCCCTGCCTTGCAGCTTAGCCTTCTCCAAGGGACAGTTTATTGAAGCCAGATGCTCCCTCTCTGAAGAAACCTGGAGTGATGGGAGGAGGAGAGGGTGGGGTTCCTGAAATTCCTGGTTGGCTCCGCAGCTGCATGCCATGAGGACTGTGACTTTATTCTCCCCGTTACATAAAGATGCAGCTGCACTTGGCAGATGTCCACATCGTTTTTCTCCTCTTGTGAAGAGCAGCTGTCAAGAATCAGAGTGGGCCTGACCGCTCCTTTGGAAGGTGCGTGTGGAGTGGGGATAGGGCTCCCCGGGAAGCATGGCAGGGCCATACATTGAACTGCAGCCCTCCGGTCTCCCTAGGCCCAAAGGGTCACCTCACAAGACCTCCTGATGCTACAGCTTGGATGCTGCTCTGCAGGAGCAGCACCGAGGCCCTTGGTTGCCCAGAGCATCTCTCCTACCAGCTCAACAGGGATGGCACAGCAACCAGATGAATGCTGCACGCCGGCCGTGCTCTCTGCAGAAGGCAAAGGCGGCCTGTGGAGGTGCCTCCCTCCTGCTCTGGTGGCCCTTCCTAGCAGAGGGGCTGCCTCGGAGCACCAAGCAGTGCCAGGCTTGCAAGCGTGCCCACGTACCAGCGGTGGGGATACGGACACGTTAGCAGCACGTGGGCCTGCCCCAAGGCTGTCGCCACCTCCCAGATAGAGATCAGAATCCACTGGCGCGGTGACACCACTTTCCTGCTCTGCCTCGGTTTCCCAGGCTGTAAAAGAGGGCTGGGTGTGCAGACGTGGCTGCGCCGCTTCACCTCCAGGTAATCTGAACAAACAAGTGATTTCCCTTCTTTTATTTACCAACCCTGTGCTCTCTTGTTGACTTGAGGGAGCCCGGCTTGGCCAGGCTGCTGGTGGGATGTCCTGGACCTGTCCTTGCTCTTGGCACCCAAGAGCTTTGGAAGCACCAGGATGTTTTCTTAGCAGGTTTCCTCAGCCCCATGTTTCGAGGCATGGATGGAATTGTGGCATCCTTGGCAGAGCCCCCAGTGCTCCTTGCACTGCGGGTAAACGTCAGAGCCTTCTCCCAGGCAGAGCTGCAGGGCCCGGAGGCTGGCGGGGATGGATCCTGCGCAGGGGCCGTGCGTTGTCTCGCGTTGCCAACGCTCACTTTTAGTGACAGGCAGGGACAGAAGCRTCCCACATCCCTTGTGGGATCAAGGCTGTGCACACGCAGGGCCTGGCCGTGTGCCCGCAAACCAGTGCCCTGGCTTCACGCGCCGATCCCACACGTTGCTGGGCACACTTGGCATTGCCTCACTCCCTGCACCTCCTGTCCACGGTCCTGCCACGGTCAGCAGCGCGGAGGCTCCAGCTCCCGCCGCGCTCCAGGAAGATGCTGGGCTGCCACTTGCTGCTGCAGCAGGCCCTGCAGCAGCACCAAGCCCTGTGGCCGGGGGACACAAGGGACACCAGGCTGCATCAGTGCTGTGACGAGGAGCTGGGTGCTCT